CTTACGAATAACACATTTCTCAGCCAGCTGAGTGGCTTTGTTCTCCATCTGCTCAAATTCTGATTCAAAGTCAATTCCTCAGGATCTCATACTTTAAACTATTTGAATTAATAAAAAAAAACTTTACACGCCAATGACAACCTTCTATAAATAAATGGATTAGTTAAAGGCCTAATGCAGAATTCTTTCCAATCATATTAAAAACAACTAGAGATATATCCAAGTGCCTCCATTATGATGATAATTTATTTTCCTCCGGCATTCTGTTTAGAAGTAGAAACTTCACCGTCAACAATTCTTCACAATGCAAGAATTAGTGTTGGTAAATTCTGCAATATAAAATGTACTGCTGTCTTTCTAGAAGCCCATTTTGTATCACTGAGTCGTTTCAGTGTTAGTGAAAATGATTCCATGTATAAAGACGCGGTAGTAACATGTTCAGGAGTTTCAAAAATTAACTGTTTGGGGGGTCGGCATGGTCGGGTTGGTTAAGTTCCGATAAGTCCTGAGTTGGAACCGAACCCCCGGGCATATGCGGCCCGATAGGTGGGGATAGCAATTCTTCTAGAATCAAGCAACTGCTGCCTTGTATTTTATTCTTGGTTGGACAAAAACTGTGGAAGCAAATCCAAAAAGAAATCAGGCTGAAATCGAAGTCAACGGCCTATAAAGCGAATAACAAGTTGACAAGTAATACTAAAATCAAGAACAAAGAAGAAGAAGAACTGTGTTTGAATATTAAATGAAACAGCAGTTATGAGAGTTAAATTTTGAGCACGCCAGTAGAGATTGCATGGTGATATATTTTTCTAACTCGATTTTTTAGGTCTGATATTTCACGGGATAATCGTGTTTGCTCCATCATAGGACTGACCATAGCATATGGTCATTGACAGCCCTAAAAATCTGTGACTGATGTCAGAACAGTTTTGAAAAAAAACCTGTGCAAAATTCAATAAATTTTTCGATGGAGACACCATGTTCTGTCTTATATCGGTTAGAGAAAACTGATCTTCTTCTTCTTCTTCGTTCTTAATTTTTAGTGTTGGAAGGGATCGAGCCTTATCTGCCAGAGGCTTTTTTTTTTTTTTGCCGGCTCGACTACGCCTCCATCACAATTAGGGATACGTGTCAACTGGTTATGCGCCATTGAGTCAGATTTCAGCCTGCTTTTCTTTTTGTATTTGCTTTAGCCTTTGTCCAACCAAGAACAAACTACAAGGCAGCAGTTGTTTGATTTTGGAGTTGTCTCTCCTAGAAGAATTGCTGTCCCCCAGATAACGAGCCTCATCTGCCCGAGGTTTCGAACTCGAGACTTTTCGGTTTAGCAACCATGAGCTTTACCGACTCGATTACGCTGACCCCCAGAAAACTGATCAAATATTTTTAATGTCGATAGTTGAATCTACTACAATCACAGCGAAATACCTCGCTATTTTAGTTTCACCTAATATCATCTTGAGCTCATATAGACTTTATTAAGTCGTTTCACATTCTACGAACTTTTTCCTAGAGTCAGATATCTATACATATGCTGCATTTCATCATCATCATCATTCCTTTGTGGCCCCTGGGGAGCAAAGGGCTGCAACCACACATCTCCATCGGACTCGGTTTTGGGCTGCCCCCTTTATCTGTGCCCATGTGAGCCCAGCTGTTTTCGCCTCTTCTTCAACCGTTCTTCTCCATGTCTTCCTTGGCCGGCCCACCCCCGAAATGTCATCGAAATTTAGATGTGGCTTCAACAATAAAAGATGTCATGATTTAACACTAGTCTAGTGTTGCTAATGTATGCTTAATTGCAGCATGAATATGAATAACAATCATTAAACTTTAATGATTGCAACGCAGAAAATGCTTTACTCTTCCCCGCTGCGTGCGATATGACTTCAAAATTTCAAATACGATAACAATTTTTTTTTTCTTTCTCTTTTTTGGCCTCAGACATGCAATTTACAGCGTCAGTTGTGTGTTCGCTTTAGTATTACAGTTTTCATCATCGGCTTGTGAGGACTGATACAGATATACAATAGTAATATTTCTTTCTTCCTTGTAGCCTGCTTTCATTCATTTAAGTTGGTTTACTTATACATAGATCTAATACAAAACGTCTAAACATAAAAAGATATTAAAAAAAAAAACCCAACCTGAAATTGAAAATGCAAATGTGTAATTAAATGATGATTCAAAGGATTTTTTTCCCGGCGTGGTGGGCTGAGGGGACGGGGGGGGGGGGGGGGGGGGGGGGAAGGGGGAGGGGGAGGGGGGGGGAGAGGGTGGAATTTGGGTTTTTAAGTAGAGCTGAAATACTTTGGGATTACAGCGAATTAA